GTCACCGTATTAAACACAAAATGGCGCCTTGCCCGTTTAGAGTTAACAGACGGGAAGAGATAGTGAAACCTCCCGGTCAAGAGATTATTGTTTATCAAAGGTAATATTGAACTGTGATAATATTAACGATCACTAGACCCATCATCACTATCATGAAGTTCTTTGCCGGCGGGCGTGGGCGATCACACTTCTTGGTGTCCGAAACAACATGTTGGCGTTATGGTGAGGGGAAAAACCTGAACTGGAAAAATTAATTACTCTTGTATGGGAGGGCGGGGTTGGAGAAGAAGTGATAGAGGAAGAAAGGTAAAAGGAAAAACTGCTACTTTTAATAATATGTTACAACAGAGGATTACATTTAGGACAATAGGGTAGGGAACTTCTTCTTCTTCTTCTTCTTCTTCTTCTTCTTCTTCTTCTTCTTCTTCTTCTTCTTCTTCTTCTTCTTCTTCTTCTTCTTCTTCTTCAGAATTCTGATCTGAGCCCTTGAGGTTCATTGCTGCAGATATCACCGGTCTCCATTGATGTCTCTGGTTGGCGCTCTCTTTCCAGTTGCTGACAATAAGTGTTTGCAGGTCTGCCTGAACATTATCTCCCCATCGTCTTCTTGGTCTGCCTCGTGGTCTACGACCATTCGTCTCCCTTGTGTATACAGTTTTTACTTCTCTGTCATCTGACATTCTTTCAATATGCCCCAACCATTTCAGTCAATTAGTTCTCATGATGTCAGTGATCAATGGAGATTTAAACAGATTATGAATTTCGTTGTCTTCTCACTCTCCATTCCTGCTGTTTGCATCTTTGATGAGTCCAAAGATTCGTTATACGACTATGTTTTTTAAAACCTGTAATAAGGCTTCATCTCCTTTAGTTGTGTTCCAGGTTTTAGAGCCATATAAAACGACTGGTTTTATCAACGTTTGATATATTTTGATCTTGGTGTTGCGAGACAGACACTTTGACTTTAGCAGACGTTGAACGGTATAGTATACTTTATTTCTAGATTGTATTCTAGATTGTATTTCTTCTTTCAGAATGTTGGAGCAGTTGGAGTTTGCACCTAAGTACTTATGCGTTTTCGTTCGTGTGATTTTCATAATATCAACCTGTATGTGGCCAGAGTTTACATCCTTTCCTTGTCTAGTTATTATCATGTATTCTGTCCTATCTTGAGTGACAGCTTGTTCCATTTTCTGAGCTGATTCTTTTAAGACATTCATTGTTTTAACAGACTCTAGTTCATTTTCTCTAACGATATCAATGTCATCAGCATATCCAAGTGAAGAACTTGAACTAAATAGATTATTTATTTATTCTTGTATGTGTGCATTTGGGGGGAGAGAGGAGGGGAGGGGGGGGGTGGTGGAGAATTGATAGAGGAAGATTTTGGACAATGGGGTAGAGAACGTCTTCTTCTTCGGAATTCTGAGCCCTGGAGGTTCATTGCTGCAGATGTCACCAGCCTCCATTCATCTCTCTTGTTGACTTTCTCTTTCCAGTTAGTGACACCCAGAGTTTTGCAAGTCTGTCTGGATATGATCTCTCCATCGTCTTCTTGGTCTGCCTCGTGGTCTACGACTATTCATCACTCTGGTGTATACAGTTTCTACTTCTCTGTCATCTGACATTCTTTCGATTTGGGTTCGGGTAGGGAGCAGAGATAGAAAAATACGGAAAAAAGAAATGGCGGATAGTGGTTTAGCATATAAAGGAAAAGTAGAAGGCTATGAATGCTGATCATTGATCTACGGATGCTCATATGATCATTCCTCTATGGAACCTTATCTTCTCATTCTTCTTCTTCTTTTTCTTCTTCTTCTTCTTCTTCTTCTTCTTCTTCTTCTTCTTCTTCTTCTTCTTCTTCTTCTTCTTCTTCTTCACTTCCTCTTTTACCGCTGTGGGTGTCGAGGGAGATAAAAGGTTCTGTTTCTAGCTCTTCTGGCTGCCTCGACCATAGGCACATCGTGCAGTTGTAGAGTTTCTCTGATGTTATCCTTCCATCTTGTTCTTGGTCTACCCCGTGCTCTACGTCCTTCTTCTCTTGCCATGTATGCTTTGTATGGTATGGTGTCACAAGGCATTCTCTCTAACAGGGCAAACCATTTCACTTGCTGTCTTTGTATGTAATCCAGAATTGGTTCTGTGCCGACTTGTTCTCTTATGATCCCATTCCTGATCTTATCTCTTATGGTCACTCCTACAGCCCTTCTCAGACATCTCATTTCCGTGGTTACTAATTTTCTTTTATGGTTTGTTGTGAGTGACCATGTCCGGCACTCACAACAAACCATAACTCATTCTTCTACAGAACTAAATCTTTAAAATCTACTGTAGAACTTCATCTCCATATTCCTCTGGAGAACCTAAGCTCATTCCTCTGTAAAACCTAAGCTCATTCCTCTGTAGAACCTAAGCTCATTCCTCTGTAGAACCTAAGCTCATTCCTCTGTAGAACCTAAGCTCATTCCTCTGTAGAACCTAATCTACTCATACTTCTGTGTATCTCTCCTTTCTTCTAAAGAACCTCATCTTCTCACTCTTCTTTAGAACTTCATTTACTCATGTCTATAGAACTTCATCTCCGCATTGCTCTATACAACCTCATTTCCTCATACTTCTGTCGTCTCACCTCCTCATTTTTCTAAAGAGCTTCATCTCCTCATACGTCTATAAAACTTTATCTCTGTATTTTTCTGTACAACCGCATTTCCTCATACATCTATAGAGTCCTATCTCTTCATTTTTCCTTAGATTATCTTCTCATTCTTCTATAGAACTTCATTTCCTGATATTTCTATAGAACTTTACCTCCACCTACGTCTATAGAACTTCATCTTCTTATTCTTATATACAACCTCTTCTCTTCATTCTTCTATAGAACCTCTTCTCCTTATTCTTTTATAGAATCTCTTCTCTTCATTCTTCTATATAACCTCGTCTCCTCATTCGTCTGTGGAACTCTGCGATCAGCAACTGTGTGTATTAGTTAGTGTGTTGACACCACATCATTACTATGACAAAAGACTGCCAAGAATCTTCTAACGTTGTCTTCCTCTGACTTTCTTTCCACGGGTCTTTCCAAAAGTTACAACATTGTCCAGATTTCTTCTTCTCATAAGGTTAGTTTCGTATTCTTTACAGGATGTTGCAGAACCAACCCTTACAGCCCCTGGCTGTTGTATGGTTTCTCTAGGCAAATTTACGTCCAGTAGTTTGCCATTGCTCCTGGACGGTCGGCTTTCTTGATACCACTGTCGAAACCAACGCAAGGCGCGTAGCCCGCTGCTGGTATCGAACCCGGCATCCCGTCATTACAAAGCGTTCGCATCGACTTAGCCACAAAGCAAACTGAGCCACAGAGCCGACATGATCAAATGAATGATAACTTGTCTCTTTCTGATGTGTATGTTAAGCTATCTTTAAGTCCTCACCTCTTTCAAAATATCTGGGCTGCTCATTTTGGCGATCCAGTGAATTCCAAGGATTCTTCTGTAAAACCACGTCTCCGAGATCCTAAGACGTTGGCTGGTTTATTCATTGTCCAGGATTTACAGCCGTATGTTAGGCTGAGGTTTGAACAACGGATCAATATCATGGCACACGGGTTGTAACTCATAAGTGCTCTGTTCTTTCTTCTAACTCAAGTATGAGTCTGAAGACGCTCAGCACAGTGCACAGGCGAGGATCCGGAAATACTTGAGGTAGATTTTTAACTTAACAAATTTGCCCGGGCAGCGCCGTTAAACTAATCTTTTTTTAATTTCCACCTGCCAAGGGATTTTCTACGTGCGCAACAATGCACACGGGCGTCCGATCTCACTACCCAGAGACCAGGGGGAATTATTAAAAGTCAAAGTCCACGTAAACAAATCCTAGCCCTTACTGGGGGATTGAACCCGCAATCTCTAGCACTCTAGAGAGACACCATGCCTTAAGACCACGCAGCTCTCCCCCCTCCCTGCCGTATGTTAAAAGTGGCTCCAAACAGCTTGTCCCATTTTGGTATTTTTCTTTGTGATACATCTTCTGTCGGATGTTATTCCTGTGGCTAGATATTTTAATGTGTATACTTGTCCTAAAATAACGCCTTTAACGAAAAAGTACTTCACAGAGAGATCATTATGGTCTGAGGAGAATGGCACTGCGAGGAGTTACAAGGAGATCTGGCCGACGCTCGACACTCAGGGGAAAGGCGAGACGGATATACAGTCAGACAGTTACTGGTACTGTAGGAATTTTAATTCGTCGCTTGCTGTTGAAGATGGAGACGGAGCGCTTATCAGCTGTAATGTCGATTCCTAATTCAACATTCTTAATAGTACCTCCGCTAGAAATGCTAATTCTTAATATTTATGTCCCTAATTCAATTTTCAGGTATCATCATTGACAATACTGCTTCAGCCGAAGGGTCAGGTGTCTTTACAACGTATTGGAAATTGCTGCACCGGGGGAAAAAACAGACTGTCTAGGCACGACCTCAAACGCATACACACAAGAAGGCTACGGGTCGACTTGTTGTCTCCTTGTCAGTTCATCAGAGAGCATTAAGCGACAAATATACATCTGCAAGGAAAGGCTGTAGACAGTTTTCTGAAGATCATAAACCGACAAAAAGTCAACAAACCTACAAGTCTGTTCTTCAATTGTTTACTACCAAAAAAAAAAAAAAAAAGGGGGAAAAAATCAATTTAATACATTGTGCCGGAAAACAGCAGTGCCATTTACTAAACGTTTTTTTTGTATTGAGACATTAATTATATATACGCAATAATAATTTTTTTTTTCAATACTTCAATTCTGTTTACATAATTTCATCACAATAACAGTCTTGCGATCGAAGTCATCAATCCTCTTGTCATTTGTTATCCAGACAACAATCCTACTTATCTCTCCATCGTACCCGGGATAACCCTGCTGATCCCATTTTTCCTCTCGAAACATCAATCGAAATTATCCAGGATTTGTCTCGGCATTGAAGTTATTGCCCCTGCTACACACGAATGACCACAAGACAAGTTCAGATCGCCGTCATTGGTGGGTGTTCTGTTGGCAAGACGGCACTTGTCGTTCAGCTCATATCAGCATTGTTTGAAGAGGAATACGTTCCTACAGCCGACGAGGACCGTGTAGCGATGCTGGACTATGGTGAGACTTCTATTAAGCTGGTGATTCACGACACCTCCGGCAGTGAGAAGTTTGCTGAAGCTAGAGAAGAGAAGTACACCACGGCAGAAGGGTTTTTAGCAGTCTACAGCATTGAAAGGAGACGGTCGTTCAACGAACTAAGAATGTTTTTGGAAAAGCTGCAACAAGTGAGAGGGATTAGGAGCATACCTCTTGTGGTTGTAGGAAACAAGGTAGATCTTCAGAACGTGCGGGAGGTAGAAAGAAGTGAGGGAGAGGAACTGGCCAAGACGCTAGGGTGTCCTTTTGTGGAACTCACGGCCAGGGAGAGGGACAGTGTAGTGGGTGCTTTCAAACAACTGATTCGGGAGATGGACAAAACTGCAGTAGTCAGGAAAGAGAATATGAAGTTAAAGTTGACACATTGTACTCTTTGTGCACTTCTTTGACTACCAGTCCCTGTGGACCTTCGCGGGCGGACGTTGTATTATGCGCGTATTTTTCATAGATTAGAATCCATGCTACAGAAAGCTTGTCAGAACACCATGGCCAGAGAAGAAAAGACACTCTGACATCATAAAGGATCCGAAAAGAGCACGGAAGATTTGCTGGTAAATAGCATGTTGTTTCACAAACTGAAATATGTTGGTCATAACAAGTGCCACAGCGGATTGGGGGGGGGGGGGGACGAAAGGCATGGTATCAGGAAAGAGGGGCAGGGGCCGACCATCAAGAAGATGGACACTCGTTGGGTAGAAAACTGCACAAAGCCGGCAACAGACCACGTTTCTTTCAGGCAGAGCCTGTTCAGAGGTACAGCCTGTAAAGGATCCGCTACGCGACAATGAGTGTCCAGATGAGAAGATGGGGATGAGTGTCCAGATGAGAAGAGGGGGATGAGTGTCCAGATGAGAAGAGGGGGATGAGTGTCCAGATGAGAAGAGGGGGATGAGTGTCCAGGTGAGAAGAGGGGGATGAGTGTCCAGATGAGAAGAGGGGGATGAGTGTCCAGATGAGAAGAGAACGATAAGAGTCCAGATGAGAAGAGAGGGATACGAGTCCAAATGAGAAGAGAGGGTTTAGAGTCTAGATGACAAGAGAGGGATAAGAGTCCAGATGAGAAGAGAACGATAAGAGTCCAGATGAGAAGAGAGGGATGAGAGTCCAGATGAGAAGAGAGGGATAAGAGTCCAGATGAGAAGAGAACGATAAGAGTCCAGATGAGAAGAGAGGGATACGAGTCCAAATGAGAAGAGAGGGATTAGAGTCCAGATGACAAGAGAGGGATAAGAGTCCAGATGAGAAGAGAACGATAAGAGTCCAGATGAGAAGAGAGAGAGATGAGAGTCCAGATGAGAAGAGAGGGATAAGAGTCCAGATGAGAAGAGAACGATAAGAGTCCAGATGAGAAGAGAGGGATACGAGTCCAAATGAGAAGAGAGGGATTAGAGTCCAGATGACAAGAGAGGGATAAGAGTCCAGATGAGAAGAGAACGATAAGAGTCCGGATGAGAAGAGAGGGATGAGAGTCCAGATGAGAAGAGAGGGATAAGAGTCCAGATGAGAAGAGAACGATAAGAGTCCAGATGAGAAGAGAGGGATGTGAGTCCAGATGAGAAGAGAGGGATGAGAGTCTAGATGAGAAGAGAAGGATACGAGTCCAAATGAGAAGAAAAAAGGTGAGAGTCTAGATGAGAATAAAAGATTTAGAGTCCAGATGAGAAGAGAAGGGTTAGAGTCTAGATGAGAAGAGAAGGGTTAGAGTCTAGATGAGAAGAGAAGGCTGAGAGTCCTGATGAAAAGAAAAGGGTGAGAGTCCAGATGAAAAGTGAAGGGTTAGAGTCCAGATGAGAAGAGAGTGATGAGCGCCTAGATGAGTAAAGAAGGATGAGAGTCCAATCAGAAGAAATGCGAAGAGAAGGGTGAGAGTCCAGATGAGAAGAGGGATGAGAGTCCAGATGAGAAGAGAGGGATGAGATGCCAAATAAGAAGAGAAAGGTGTGAGTGTTCTTTGTCAATGGAAGAGACTTTTTACAAACAAGGGATCAAGGGATAAATGGACCATCTGTGGGTTAAACGGGGGAGAAAGTTTTTGACGAGCCGGTCTGGAAGCATTAGTAGTTTACCCACTGGCACTCCATGACTGGCCTCCCTACGCAGACAAGGTTCTGGCCATGATGAAAGCACCCAACACCATATTTTCAAACATCTTGAACTGAAACATCAGCGAGAGCTGTCAGAAGCGTCTTTAACAGGGATAAATTCACTTCTTGGCTTCATGGAGCCTGAACTTTCAGAAGTATCAAGTCTAGCGGCACACGTGGGATCAGTGTTGTCACTTTTCTTTGACAAAAAACATCCAAAACGGAGTCAAAAAATATCTAAAAACATCTAAATTTGCGTGGAAAACATCTAGAAGAAACATCCAAATGGAAAGAGTCACAAATTACATAGCAATTGGTATGACTTACCATATAGAATCATGTCCTCATCTTTACTGAAGACTGCCTTACAAGATCCACAGGATAAACTTAGCTTGGATGATGAAGTTGAAGCTTCAGATCCAAAATGACTCTGGTGTGCTTTAGCTGTTCCAATTTCTTTTAATACCCAATCAGGGAGCTGATAAGTGGAGCAGCCTTTTCCTACTCTTATCATGCCGAATTTTATTGTCAAGATAGCATTTAAGAGGTAACATTTCATCCTGTTTCTTAGGTTAGATTTGATAAATTTACTCCAAATGAAAAACATCTAGAAAGACATCTACCATCTAAACGTCAAAAACGCCATCTAAATGCAAGGAAAAACATCGCAATCTGTGTAAGATCCAGGGGATGGAGGCAGGCTCTGTACGCAGACAGTGGACTTAATCATTGTGGAACTCCACTGTGTAATGAAAGAGCTGATATATTGGCTGGTCCTGCCTTAGTTGCAGATGGACAGACTGTAGTTCGCGTCGAGATTGTTAATCCCCGTATACAGACAGGACGATACGGGAGTTTCGAGAGCAGAGTGTTCATATAACTGGTAAGATTGCGAGTATTCGGAGTAAAGATCGACACAGTCAGGCATGAGAGGCGAACCGGACGTACAAAGAGTCTTGCCAGCCAGCAGAGGATTGACACTATTCACCGCGTGACGCTGGTGTATATGTTAAAGGGGAAATCTGAGCACATGTGGACGTGTCCGGAGTGCTCTGAAAATAACGCACTCATAATTAAGAATCAAACTGCCAGGTTTAGACACTTAAGCAGCCTTTAAGCTAGTTGGTGGACAGAATCATTCTGTGTACACACGGAACAATTCAACAGCCTAGCACACAACATCGAAACATCTAGCATGAGAATGGAGGTGGAGGCGGTAACTGCAGCTCTCCGGTGGCTAGAGAACAAGATGCATACGCATGTCGTAATTGTAACAGACTCTGAAAGAATGCTGAGAAAGGTGAAGACAGTGATGCTTCGAGCATAGTGGCAATCTTCACTGGGAAGGTCACGGGTAGTAGCATACTTTGGATCTTTTTTCTAGGCCATGCCTGCGTAGTGGGCAATGAACAGGCAGACAAACTAGCTGGATCTGCATCACTGGGTGGGGAATCGATACAAGACAAGGCAGATGTGGTCAAGGCCCTTTGGGAACAAGCAACGGAACCAGTTGAGAAACAAGATTATTATGACTGGAGAGAATGGGGCACCTGGGTGTAAGCAGAAAGTCTGGCCGGTTCACTGCACTCAGAGGAAAGGCAAGAGGGACATATAACCAGATTGTGACCGGTACCAATCAATATTGGAACTCTGCGCTGGCTGCTGAAGATGAGGACAAAGCACGCATGGGAATGCCCTGAGTATTGTGACGTCAATTCTTGACTCAACATAACACAACTCAATGGAACCATTCATTTCTTAACTGCCCAATAGATCTGTCAGCGTGTAGCTTCTTGGAAACCCCGGTTTGTATAGATATTATTTCTTCTTTGACTTGCTGCATAGTGTTCTTGTCTGGCCTCACGTCTTTTCTAGTTCTTCTTCTTCTTTCGTTCGCTTCGAATAGATTATCTATATCGGCAATTCAGGCTGTAACTCGCGAAGTTTGGTTTACACCGATGTCTCTCGTGGCCAAAAATGTTGTTTTGAGGGTTGTGATCGACTGTCTCAGGTGCCAAGCCACATGTACACATGGCTGGTTTTTGTCTGGTAGTCTGGTAGTCTTAGTTTCAGCTTCATAGCAAACGGGTCATCCCATCTTTGCTCCGCTCCTGTGCCAACGAAAAACACACTGAATGTTTATCACAGTATTAGTTCATCATTTATGGTAGCAGAAGTCACCAACAGATCAGCAGTTGCCCATGCGATCAATTTTAATCACATACGGGCACCACAACACTGCACGACACGTATCGCGCCATTTTCTGAATCTACAATTCACACCAACAAGTTGGTTTTTGTGTACATGTGGCGGCGAAGTTGATTGTGTCAAGTTCTAAGGTGTAGAATCATGACTTGCTCTGGTCTGTCCATAATATAGTAATCGTCTGGTGCCGGTTTTGGTGGATTTCTGATTGATTGCATTATTCTCCTCTTCTGTTGATGTGGAACTGGTTTTTTAGGCTGTCCTTCAGTTACACCTTCCTTGAAAAGTTTATCAGCTCTTTTGTTTACGGGAACACCACCTCTTTTCTTCTACTTCTTCTTCTTCTTCGTGTTCACCGGCTGTGAATTCTCGGGGAAAGTTCTGGTTGTTTATCCAATTCTGGACTGCAGTTCTGTTCCAGAGCCTGAGTGTTGTATGTGCATCCGTTTTACAGATCTGACTCCTTTGTGTGCAGACTGCTGGTCCTTGCCTCTTAGGCAGATGCACTCCGACTTGGAAAGTAGCTCCCAGTTAGTCGACTCTGACGACATACTTTTGGGTAGGTAGTGGATCTATTCTTGTTTTCCCTATAATAGGGCCCATGAACCCACACGGAGTTCCATCTCTTTTGATTTGTCTGGTCATGGTTGCAGATTGACGGTCATCGCTTGGCTCTGGTAAATGTGTCTGAATCTGATTGTAGAAAACAACAATTTCAAGTTTAGTCCTCTTTAAGCAGCCCGAGGGCCTGCTATATTAAGGACTGGTTCTTGGCTATCGTAGAGAATTCAGTATGTTAACCTGGTGTCCATTGCTGTCCCCAGCCACAAATCTATCCGCTTGTTTATTTCCTCTTACACATGCATTCCCTTACACACAAATAACAATTATATTTGGGAGCAAAAACACCCCCCAAACAAATGGTGCTGAGGAATGTAGGAATGTATCTCGTGTTATATCACTGCACAATGGGCATTCTCATGCATAATCAATCCTCTGACGTAGCAGCCATTCAATTGTACCTCAAATGATTGTTCCCATTAAGAAGTGGTTGTAATGTCTTTTATCTCAGCCTCGAACAAGGCATAGACGAGCTCCA